TATATATATATATATATAATCTTGTTACCTTCCAAACACCAAGTACCATTGGTAACGTGATTGTAAAATTGTCCTACCACTTTGGTTCTGAATAGAATCCTATGTTCCCAGTTTGACTGAACATGATTGCCTCCCACAGTTCCACATGAAATAGAAAAAACACCAAAAGGACTAGGTCGTCCTTTGTGATCGCAGAGTTTACAGCTTGTCAACTAAACCCTAATGCATCTCCATGAAAACAAACACACTACTTCTTTAGGCCACGCTCTCCTTTATCCCTTACGTGGCAGATTTTCACTGGTTGTGTTTTTTCAAGTAACTCTTAGGCTCGTGAACTAACTCATTCAGCTAAGGAATATTTTTTGTCTCGACTCTGAAGAGCAACGAATTTTAAAATTGTTAGTTGGGGGGCATTGCCATTTTTAATAAAAGACTCTGTGGATAGATGCGTGTGTCTCCAATGGTCATTCTAAATCAGCAATGGAGAATCAACCTGCACATGGAAGAAAGGCAATGGAAGAAGAACTAGTCAACGGGCGTGACACAGCAAACCAGTTACTTGAAATACTTGTTCATGAATCCAACACTCATCGTGGAGGTGTAGAAGTAGAAGGGTCAGTGCTACCTTTTGCTGAAGATCTTGTTCGCAAGGTACTCAGATCATTCACAAATACCCTTTTGCTGTTGAACATTCATAATGATGTCTCCGATGATGTGGTTATGCCTACTACCACTATCAAAGATGCCTCTTCGTCTGTGAAATGCCCAAAGCCTGAGGATAAGGATGAGTCTTGCAAGGGTTTCTTCAACGCTAAAAGACGAAGAGGGTGCCACAAGAGAAAGTAAGAACTGTATTCTTGCCTGTGTTGTTATTATTATTTTATTGATTTTCTTATTGGGTTCCTTTAGTTCTGATTTAAAATTCCACTATCATTTTATGTTACGAAATATAAAGATATGCAATTTTACTAATCATGGAGAGACCTTTTTTTCCACCAATCGTGCTTTTCGTTCTTTAGAGAGAGAAAGAGATCAAACTTCACTGAACCTTCTTCTTAGGTATCTAATATTTAGGTTATATTAAATTTTGTCTCGTTAATTTCATAAATTGTTTTTGTGACTTTGTTTCAATGCGCTTTCAAATTAACCGAGACGAATAATATAGCCAATTAATTTCGTTGCAGTCTTAACAGATAGAATGACTAGGATTGTACTGCACATTCACATGATTATTTATAATACATTGCAATTGATTGCATAACTATTTGTAGTTATATACTAGATTACAGGATTAATTACTTGAGCAAATAATTAAATAAGATCTTAATTGTATAATGGGAATTTTATCGCCATCATGAGATTAAGTGCACCAACATGGGAAAAGAACAGCTCAATTCTGATGGAAGATGGCTATTTATGGAGAAAGTATGGACAGAAAATGACAATGAATGCAAAATACCTCAGGTATATATTCTTCAATTTCAAATTGCAACCAACCAAAATCTCGTTCTCTCTATAGGGTTCTTTCTTCTTAATTAATGTT